TATGGGGACCACTGAGGCTCAAAGCGGGTTCGGTGAAACCAGAACACCCAGTCTGAAGACAGCTCTGCTTGCATGTTGCACTAAGTGTCACGTACCCAACGGGCACCGGGAGTCTTTGAGCTGAGCAGGTCCCTAGGGGGCGACGTGCCCACTCCTCACGTCAGAGCAGAGGGTCACAAAGCCTCCTTCCCTGGGTGGCCCGTGCCCTGCTCCTGTCCCCGCCCCTGGCCTCTCCCCAGAAATCACAGTAAGCNAAGTCCCCTGTCCTGACGGAGCCCAAACCCAGGCTTTCCCCTCTGCCGTCTCCCCCACCCATGGTCATGGGAGCCACGGCTGGCAGGACTGGCAGAGAGCAGGGTGGCCAGCTTCCCTTCAGACAGAGGCCGCACAGCTGGCGCTCAACCCCCTCCCGTGACCCAGCCCAGCTTCCCGCCCTCCGCGCTCAGCCTTCCCACGAGCCCCTTGTGCCCTCCCTTGAAAATTCTGTCTGTGGGTGAGAACGTGCTTGCTGGGAACGTGTTGGTCTTCCTCGGACACTTGCACTCTGTCCCCCCATGAGAATGCTGCAGAAATGTGGGGATCGCTTTGTTTACTTGGTCCCTAAACCTTGAAAATACAGAAAACACGGGAGCAAGAGTAGAAATCACACACGATCCAAACACTTCAAAAGAGACAGTCGGAGTGAAAGTTTCTGCTCCCTCAATCCTTCTCTGCAGTCCCCGGACAACCATTCCTCGCAGTGAGGGGCGTTTGCTCCCCACTTGCTCCAGTGCATAGAAACACGGACTCACGTGCTCACACACATGCACATGCGCTCACACACCTGCACATGTGCACACACATGGACACGCACTCACACACATGCACACGCGCTCACACACCTGCACATGTGCACACACATGGACACGCACTCACACACATGCACACGTGCACACACACATGCACATGCGCTCACACACATGCACACGTGCACACACATGCACATGAGCACACACATGGACATGCGCTCACACACACGCACACGTGCACACACATGGACACGCGCTCACACACATGCACACGTGCACACACACATGGACACGCGCTCACACACATGCACATGCGCACACACATGGACAAGCGCTCACACACTGGCACATGAGCACACACATGGACACGCACTCACACACATGCACACGTGCTCACACATGCACACGTGCTCACACACCTGCACAAGCGCACACACTCACATGCATGCACACGCGCGCACACACATGGACACGCACTCACACACATGCACACGTGCTCACACACCTGCACACGTGCACACACACATCGAATGGACACACACGCTCATGCACACTCACACGTGTGCTCACACTCACACATGTATGAGGTTCTTCAAAAAGTCCGTGGAAAAGTAGAATTAAAATACAGTGCAAACCTTTCCACGAACTTTCTGAGGCACGCTCTTGCCCACTCACGCATATACACATGCTCAGACACATACACACACAAAGAAACATAAATAAAATGTAACTAAAATGCACTGTAACGTAATCAGTTTTTTGTTACTTCGATGCTGAAGTGGCTTCCTGTGTTTCCTCATTATGTTCATGGTACAAAGCACATCCTGGGGTAGAGCACAGAGCAGCTGCCAGGCTGTGGAGACTGCCAGCGTGTCCTTCCCTGCTCGTTTCTTACGTCCCTGAGCACCCTTGGAGAAGAGGCCCAGGGTTACCTGGAAGGGGCAGATCCAGTAGCTGAAGGAGAAATCCAGGCAGCAGCCCTGTGGGAGATTGTTCTGGTACCGTCTGCTGTTGGTGAGAACCCAAGAGCGATGAACAGCCCATCCTCAGGGCAGCAGGGGCAGGGCCGCGGGGCCCGGACCTGGCAGCAGCACTTCCCAGGACCCAGATGGTGTCTTTCCAGCCTGTTCGGACCACAGGGAGCAGCCCTCGGAAGTATAG